GTCGGAGAGTTTTTGATTTTGTTGCACCATGTCGAATTTTGCGAAGCCGGAGAATGCGTTGAAGCGCGCCGAAGGTTTGTTTCTCTCGTTTTTTTTTGGAACGTCTTAATGAATCTCTTTAAGCATATGGATGGTGAATCTAGGTTATGGTAGGGTACCTCTCTGGGTTGTTCCTTGTAAGGAAGTATGGAATTTCTGCTTCTGTTGATTTGGATGTGGTCGGAGATGGATTGGATTTCTAATTCTGTGGAATATGCTTAGGAGGGGTCGTAAACGATGGATTGGCTTTGATGTTGCTTTTGTGATTTGTCTACGATTGAGAGTCATGGTGTTGTTTTCGCGATTCTGTGGATTGCAGAGCTGATTGCTGTTGGACAGAAGCAAGAGGCTCTCCAGACGCTTCACAACCTGATTACCTCCAAGAGGTACCGAGCATGGCAGAAGACACTCGAGCGGATCATGTTTAAATATGTAGAGCTGTGCGTCGAGATGAGAAGAGGGAGATTTGCCAAGGATGGGCTGATTCAGTATCGCATAGTGTGTCAACAAGTGAATGTGAACTCCTTGGAGGAGGTAATCAAGCACTTTATGCATCTCTCCACCGAGAAAGCTGAACAGGCTCGGACCCAAGCACAAGCACTGGAGGAAGCTCTTGATGTTGATGATCTCGAAGCTGATAAAAGACCAGAAGATCTGATGCTTAGCTATGTCAGCGGGGAAAAGGGGAAGGACAGGTCTGACCGTGAGCTTGTTACTCCTTGGTTCAAGTTCTTGTGGGAGACCTATAGAACTGTGCTGGAAATTCTGAGGAACAACTCAAAATTGGAAGCATTATATGCGGTAACATTCCTGTTTTAATTGTAGTTTTACTTTGTTTCTGGCTGCCGTACGCAAGTGCGTATGGCGGAACTGATAAATTACATCTTGTCACCTGCAGATGACAGCTCATCGTGCCTTTCAATTCTGCAAACAATACAAACGAACAACTGAGTTTAGGCGGCTGTGTGAAATTATTAGAAATCATCTCGCCAACCTCAACAAGTATAGAGATCAGAGGGACCGACCTGATCTGACAGCTCCTGAAAGCTTGCAGATGTATCTGGAAACAAGATTTGAGCAGCTCAAGGTTGCCACTGAGCTTGAGCTCTGGCAGGTATTCAATCTAATTTATTTGTTGTCCGTTGTTTGAGATATCCATCTTTGAACTTTCCTTTATTAAGGTAACCTTTCGTTTTTTTTTGTCTACAGGAAGCGTTTCGCTCTGTCGAAGATATTCACGGCTTGATGTGCATGGTGAAGAAGACTCCCAAAGCATCCTTGTTGGTTGTCTACTATGCTAAGCTGACCGAGGTCTTTTGGATCTCGTCAAGCTATCTCTATCATGCTTATGCATGGTTCAAGCTTTTCAACCTTCAGAAGAGCTTCAACAAAAACTTAAGCCAGAGAGACCTGCAGTTGGTTGCTTCAGCTGTTGTCTTGGCAGCTTTAGCAGTGCCTCCATATGATGCTCGCCGTGCATCTCATGTAGAACTTGAAAATGAGAAGGAGCGTAATTTGAGGATGTCAAATCTCATTGGATTCAATCTAGATCCCAAAGCTGAGAGCAGAGAAGTGGTATTGTGATTAATGTTTCTTTCAGTGGATTTTTTTGATGTTTTGCCTTGGCACTCACAAACGTCCTCTTCTTTTACAGCTTTCAAGGGCCGCTCTCCTCTCTGAACTGGTAATTCGAACTTGTTATATTATTTTATAGTTTTGAGCTATTATGTTTTTCCTCTCTATGAGTGACCGTAGAGAGTTGTGTAACAGATCAGTTTTAGTCCTCGTCATTGATTGGATAAGTATATAATTCCGTTATGGACTCGGGTTCTTTTCCTGAAATTTCTATCACCTTATCATGTTTTGACGCTATGAACAGGTGTCCAAGGGTGTGCTGAGCTGCGCAACTCAAGAGGTGAAGGATATTTACCATCTTCTAGAGCACGAGTTCCTCCCAGTTGATCTTGGTGCAAAGGTGCAGCCTTTGCTGACCAGAATCTCTAAACTTGGGGGAAAGCTTGCTACAATTTCTTCTCTGCAAGAGGTTCAGCTATCCAAATATATTCCTGCTCTCGAAAAGCTTGCTACTCTCAGGTTACTGCGACAGGTACCTATCACTCTCTTTCTTAACATTTTTATGTTAGCTCTGCACAGGTTTACAGGTGGTCATTGTGTCCTAACAGTTAAACGTGTTTTTTTTCTTCCAGGTATCTCAGGTGTATAGCACAATGAGGATCGAGAGCTTATCTCGTATGATCCCCTTCTTTGATTTTGCTGTTGTGGAGAGAATTTCTGTTCATGCAGTTAAACATAAGTTCATTGCTATGAAAGTCGACCATATGAAAAGTGTTGTCATGTTTGGAGATGCGGTACTTTTCTAGCCTTGCTCTATATAACTATTCCTGTTTTTTTCTCTCTCCCAGTACTATACTCTCTTTTTTATAGTTTTGACATATTATGCCTGGGAAACTTCTTTCAGCTTCTTGAATCTGATGGCCTCCAAGACCACTTGGCTGTGTTTGCTGAATCCCTGAACAAAGCAAGGTCCATGATATATCCTTCTGCTAAGAAATCATCAAAGCTAAGTGACATTTTACCTGCACTCGGAGAGACTGTCGATAAGGAGCACAAGAGACTTCTTGCTAGAAAGTCGATAATAGAGAAACGGAAAGAAGAACAAGAACGCCAACTTCTCGAAATGGTGATTACAGATTTTATACTGTCTGTTTGTATAACCTCCTGTTCTGTCATTTGGTTGTGTGTTATAACACTAAGATGTTCTTTTGTAGGAACGAGAGCAAGAGTCGAAAAGATTGTCCGAACAAAAGAGAACAGAAGAGCAAGAGCAAAAGAGGCTCGCGGCAGAGTACGAACGCCTGAAAAACCAGAGGATCCTTCGTGAGATTGAGGAGCGCGAACTTGAGGAAGCACAGGCATTCCTCGAGGAAACTGAGAAGCGTAGTAAGAAGAAGAGCAAGAAGGGTGTTGTAGAAGGAGTGAGTACAAAATCCTTTTGTTATGCAGTGTTCCTTGCCAGTAGTTACATCTATATACTGTTCTCAATTGTGCTTTAATTCTTACAGGAAAAGGTGACCAAGCAATCCTTGATGGAAAGGGCTCTGAATGAGCAGCTCAGGGAGAGGCAGGAATCAGAGAAGAAACTACAGAAGCTTGCTAAGACGATGGATCATCTTGAACGGGCTAAGAGAGAAGAAGCAGCTCCGTTGATTGAAGCCGCCTTCCAGCAACGACTTGTCGAAGAGAAGGCCCTACATGAACGTGAACAACAGGTAAGCTGTCTCCCTGCGTTAGCTTTATATATCTTTCATGTGTTCACTTGCTGAAGTTTGTTGAATCCTTAATCGGCTTCACGATACTTCATTATTGCAATCGCGTCGAATGGTGCAGCTGGAGGTTGAACAGAGCAGGCAACGCCATGATGGAGACCTCAAGGAGAAGAACAGGCTTATCCGCATGTTGGATAACAAGGTAAACACACACTGACAATCCACATTGCACTCTGCTCAGCTTGTTCTAAAGGTGCTGACACTGCCGGATTTTTGGGCCATACGTGCAGATGATTTTTCAGGAGAGAGTGATTGCCCGTCGACAAGCGGAGTTTGACCAAAGGCAAGCAGCAAGGGAAGCGAGGATCAATCAGATAATTCAGACGAGGAGACAGGAAAGGGAGATTCAAAGGAAGAAGATATTCTACATCAAGACTGAGCAAGAGAGGCTTGCTAGACTCAAGGAGGAGGAGGAAGCTCGTAAGCGCGAAGGTAAGACATGTGCAACTGTTTAGTTATTTTGCCCGGGAGATTCAATTAAGCGAGATTCAGAAGCGGAAATTTCACCTCGAAAACAAATATCAAGTTTGAGTTTTGAGAGATTTTTTTAGAACATATGCCCCCTTCACATCTGATGGGAGTAATTGATTTGGTATATGTAGAGGCCGAGAGGCGAAGGAAGGAAGAAGCTGAACACAAGGCAAAGCTGGACGAGATAGCGGAGAAGCAGAGGCAAAGGGAGAGAGAACTGGAAGAGAAAGAGAGGCTGAGGAGGGAGGCTCTATTGGGCCCCAGACCTGCTGCTGCCACCGAGGTCCCGGTTGGTGCTCCTGTTGCTGCTGCGGCTGTTCCGGTTGCTGCTGCGGCTGCTCCAGCTGCTACTGGAGGTGCTGTTGCACCACAGAAATATGTCCCGAAGTTCCGTCGTGGAGGTGGTGCTGAGAACCCCCCGCCAGCCAGACAGCAGGCTCCTCCGTCAGATACCGATCGCTGGAGCAGTGGTGGCGGAGGCAGAGCTAGGCCTGGGGCTCCCCCAGAGGCGACTGACCGTTGGACCCCTGGTGGTGCTAGGCAGGATCCAGACCGACGTGGCAGTGGTGGCGGCCCAGCAGACACCTGGCGCCGTGGTGGTGGCAGCAGTAGCGGAGGCGGTAGTAGTGCTTCAGGGTCTGGCACCTGGTCATCTTCTAGGCGCTAAGCTTTGAATTTGAAAGCCATTGATGCACTCTGCTGGTGTTGGTCTTGGGAGGTAGGGGTCGAATTGAATTTTTCACGGCGTACTGAAGGAAGTAATAACTTGCTGCTTTTGTTTTCTGTTTTGGAATCTTGAGGGATTTGTTGCCTAATTATCTTAAGATCTTGGCGGTTTCTGGTTTAGCAGCGTTGTTTTTTTTCTTTTTTGTTTGAATGGTAAAATTGTAATGGTGGACACACTGGTATTGGAACCTCGTCGAAATTTTGTAGCGTATATTAGAACTTGTTTGCTGTTTACCGATTTGGTTTTTTTACCTCCAGAGTTTACCGAATAGTTCAAGTGTAGTTACCTTATTTCTGATACTGGACTTCAGTAGGTTGCAAAATCAAAACCTGACTAATAAAGGAGGAAATAGATTGGATCTCTGGAAAAAATACAGATTACATGAGAAATATATATAGTACATAGGACTTACTCTCGAAAAAGCTTATTGGTGCAACTTGCAAGTAGATTATGTGATAGATTATATTGCTTGTAGTCTGTGTTGAGTAGGGATAGTCATGGCAGGCAAAAGTGGTTCGATCAGATCAACCGATGACCGGTTTTGAGGTAGGGAGTTAAACAAATGTCAGGAGATTGATAGATGAACCTTGCAGAAGTCAGTGTTGTGTTCAACTCCGCCGATTAGCTGGTTGGAAGGGATTTCTTTCTGCCGTTTTTCTATCCCTTTTTATTTTCGAACAGTCTAATTCTAATCTATATGATAAAGATTAAGGTTACACACTAGGTCTAGAGCAAATACCCAAATGTGTATAAGTCCATAAATCGTGGATCGGAGGTGTTGCTCCTGAACCTATCGGGGAAACCTTGCTCCCCCGAGCTCCCTAAATGAGCACTGCTCCACTAAACCCCAACTTACTGATCGAACAACAAAATCTCATAATCTCCCGTCAACGACAGATAATCCGATTCAATGCATATGAAAAAAATATCATTCTATTCATAAATAGTTAAATACACAAAACTCGTAGACCCATCGTGAGTAATAATAGATAGACCCATTATCGAATACTGAAGCCCAATGATTAGTTTTCGATGTAATGTGAATAATGGGCCCACGGAAACTAGTTTGGACTTTGGAGTGAAGAAAGCCAGCTAGCTCCCTTCTTCGCTTTCCTAAAACCCGCCTTCAACCCTTTGTTCTTCTTCCACGGACGCAGTTTTTCGCGTAGTAGAAAAAGCTGCTGCCTTCGAATCGAAAGCTTTGCCCAGTGAGGGAGAAACAAGTAAACAGCTTAGCAATGAGCTCACTAGCTTCGAGATTCTCTAGCTTGTTACGAGTCTCTCGTACAAGCTCCCTCGTTTCTTCTTCAGGTGGCCTCTCTACCTTTTTACTCATCTGAATTCGCTTCCTGTACGATTATGTTGAATTTTTTTTAGCTCAGGACTGAAAATGGTTGGTGGTTGGGTTTATTTTGGGATTTTGTGGAAATGGGTTTTATTCATAATGCAAAGTTGTGAGCTTTGACTGCGATTGGTTAAGTGTAGTTCCGTTGGGGAATTTTATCGAACGTTTGGTGTACGATAAGTTTTGGGCCTTTCTAGAGTTATTGCGAAGGTTATCAGTGGAAAGTATGTTGTCTGCGTGCTCATTCGGATCGTGATTGCAGGAGATTGTGCTCAGAAAAGCTTGAGGGCGTGGTGCTCGTCGGTATCGTTTGATGATGTTAATAATAACAATGAGGTGAAGGCTGAGGAAATTGAACCCGAGTTTGACGACTTCATTGGTGACAAGCTGCCTGATATGCAACTCCAAGGTGTAGACCCTGGCAAAGGCTGGGGATTCCGCGGTGTACATAAGGTATGTACGGGGAGGATTGTTGCCAGTGTTCCCGTGTTTGATTGTTGCTGTGTGTTTGAGGGGCTCTCACTGAAGAAATAGATTCCAAATGATGGATATCTAACTTTCGTTCTTTAGTTCAAATAACAAGTCTAAGGATCTGAGCTGATAATCATTTTTGCACAGGCAATAATTTGTGGCAAAGTGGGACAAACTCCTGTGCAGAAGATCTTGAGAAATGGTCGAAGTGTAACAATCTTTACTGTTGGAACTGGTGGAATGTTTGACCAGAGACTGTTAGGAGCCAGAGACCTTCCAAAACCAGCACAATGGCATCGAATCGCTGTGCACAATGAAGCTCTTGGGGCTTATGCAGTTCAACAAATCGCCAAAAAGTATGTCTGTGAGAAGTCAAATCTCCTTCATTCATGGATGTTTGCCCGAGTTTTTATCTTGTCTGATTATAGTTACTTTTCCTGCAGCTCTACTGTTTTTGTCGAGGGGGACATTGAAACTAGAGTTTACAATGACAGCATTAGTGGAGAAATAAAAAACATACCAGAAATATGCGTTCGTCGTGACGGTACTTCTCCACTAGAGCTTGATGCCTTTGAAACTCCTATCTTATTGCATATAAGGCTTCTTCATGTTAATCTTACTCTTAGGTGGAACGTTTGGTATAGCTGCTATTAGAACGGGTTGTATTCTCAAACTAAGGGTGGGACAATGGATTTTGTTAAATCAGAACCAACCAAATTTCATGGGTTTGTTAACTACAAATGAACCGTGTGGTTTTGGTTTTTGATACTAATGGTAGATTTATTTTCTTTTTTGTTTCTATTGATGTATAAAGGTCATTCTCCTATTGATGAAATTTCATCGAAATTAATAAATTGTTAACTAAAATCTCTGAAGTTTGTTGTGATTGAAGCATGTTGCCTCATGTTCAACTTCTGCTGTTAAAATTTTGGTTTGGGTTAACCAAAATTCTATTTAGTTTTTGTTCCAGTTTCACAAATACGTTTTTACGGGTTTCAATTACTGCACCCTAGCTGGAACTATGACTAGCATAGGGGGATCTGAGTGTAAATTTCTGGAGTGCGACAAATTTTGCATCATGGTATTGACATTGCATCAATTCTAAATGCAGGTAGAGTACGTCTCATAAAAGGAGGGGAAAGCAAGACTAACTTCGATCTTTCCTTCGAGGATCTCCGTAAGTTGTTGTCTTCCATTTCTAAAACTGAGTACCATGTGCCATGAACACACCTGAATTTCTTTGTCCCCTTAGTTTTCTAATTGGAGCCTTTCACTTTTTTTTTTGTTGCAGGAGAAGGATTGTTTAACTGATTGTTCAGTTTCCATATCACGGGCGATAGTCAAATTAACACAAGGAACAATCCCGGATCTAGCCAGCTTTGATGTAAGAGATTGAGTCAAAATTGGGATAACTGTTCGATGTTTGTGGGAACTTTTCATCATCAATCAGTCTCTTCCTCTCTCTCGTCCTCCCTCCGTGCTTAGTTAGCAAAGGGCTTCAGACCTTTGTGAACGAAGAATTTTATGTCTATAATCATTTCTCAAAGCTTGATTAGTAAATCCATATTTGCTGATAGTGATGGAATTTGGTACTTTATATTACGTATCTATGCAGTGATTCAATAGGATGGCAATAGTGTCTACACCAGCTGCGAGATCCTGATAATGGTGTAGTTTTAATTCTACCTTCACTCACTGTTCTAGAGTATGCAAGCAAGACCTAATTTCTAGTAACTTTAACGTCTGCACACGTTCTGGTTTTTCATTGACATTCAATGATTTTTTAACATGATTTATTCATCACCTATTGCTGTGTGTCGAATGGATTGGTTTTACTTGTTCTAGGTGTGATTGCCAATACCACCAGCCAGATTTAGGGTTCTTATTCTGGAGCCAAGTGGCTATATGCAGATGTTAGAGATGTGGGGATTTGTGGTTAAGCTTTCTCGTCGCATCTTAAACCTTTTTTTTTTTTTTTTAATCTGGAAGGTAAAATTAGTGTTCTTTTTATCAGCAAATTAAAGATTGACAAGCTGTTGGAGGAATCTCTCTCTCATTCCATGGTATTGTCAACTTGGAGCCTTGACAGCCTTAATTATTGGCTGGAGTGTCTGCAATTAGTTGTCTTTCTGAATTTAGCACCTTTCCCTCTCAAATGAAGATAGTTTATTATTGCTATGGGAACTAATTAACTAAACCACTAAAGTGGTATAGTGGGAGCTCTATAAAAAAGATCAAATGCCCCATTAGGCCATTAAGTCTAAACAAGGAAAGTGGAAAGAGCCTTTTGTTTCTAGTCTTTATTTTCTCCACTTCCTCTGGTGCATGTCCTTGAAAGTTAAGGCCTCCTGCAATGTTAATAGATGAAGACAGTCTTCTTTGCTTCCTTGTGTTTATTTACAGTCCATCTATCTGCTCTGTTATGTATCATATCATATCTACTGTCTTCCTCCCAGATTATGTTTGTTTCAATTGGAATCTGGCTAAGTTAGTTAAGAGCTTTGCCAGTCACCCTTAGTTTTAGACCAGTTAGACCAGAAACTCGGTCTTTGTTGGTATGATCTGTTGGCGGATTGTTGGTGTTGTATATCACATATACAAAGTGATGAATTCGACTAACGATCGAATTCACCTAGTGATGAATTTAGGGCAAGAATCCACCAAACATATGCATTGCCAAACAAGCCCTTGGTTTCATCTCACAATTCATAGGTTGGTTTGCTGAACCGGCTAATTAGCTTCCAAGTTCATGGAAAGTATTTTAAGTTATTAGTTCATCACTTTGGAATTTCCTTGTCGTCTTTTATAGCAGTCCTTGACATGTGTCCACCCACCGGTTGGCTGGTAATGCACCGATAAAGACCGCACTTTTCATTTTTTCTGCGTTTCTCGTACTATTAGTATTATGGAACTTTTCATATTCATGAAATGCCTGTTTCATTTCATGGTTATCCCTTAGTCCCTAAGACCATAACTACCTTATTCAGTTTTGTATAAATAGTGCTGCTGTGTTCTTGCCTCTGGCCTCACTACTTCACATTCCCTTTCTCTTTCTTTCCAAGCACAACAATGTTTAGGATCCTTTTAGCAGCCTTTCTTCTCACTTCTCTAACTCACATGTTGTGTGCCGAGGCATGTCCTCGGTGTGGCAACGTGGAAGTCCCTTACCCTCTTAGCACCGGAGATGGATGTGGAGACCCTAGGTACAGAGTTTACTGCAACAACGGTGTCCTAGAGTTCATGTCGGCTGAAGGGTTTTACTATAGGATCCTGAGAATCAACCCATTTGCTTCTAGGCTCGTATTAAGCCCACCTTCGATACAAAGCAACTCGTGTTACTCTTCTGATCTCAAGTTAGGAGGCATTAGGCTCGACGACGAGTCCCCCTTTAACATTTCGACTCGTAACACGGTCATGTTGTTCAACTGCTCCGACAACATCCTTTTGTCGCCCTTGAATTGTTCCTCCAGTAGCTTTTGTCGTAAGTTTGAAGCTTTGGGGGTGGGGAGTGGATGCAAAGGCACCCTTTGTTGCCATTACTTAAAAGATTCGTCCATGAATTCTCACAAGATTAGGATACGAGTTGGAGGGTGCACTGCTTACACGTCGATCATCGATGTGAGGCCCGACGATCCTGCCGAGACATGGAATTATGGCATTGAGCTACAATGGGCGCCTCCGCACTTATGACCTTTTGTTGACGCTCGGTTCGAACCAAATTCATGCCCTATCTCGGGTATCTTGTTCTCTCCTTAATGTGTTGGAGATTGTACGTGTCCACCTTACTAGTGTGTTCATCTTGTTATGGTTTTCCTATGTTATAGTTATGCATGGATTTCAAAGTTGGAATGTATAATAACAGTGAGAGTGTTGTATCAAAGGATTTTTTTTTTCTTGGAATAAAAGGTTTGTTTTAAGGACTGACTATTTCTTCAGTCTGTACAACTTGATTTCCTATTGCCATAAAGTTTTTGTGGTTGAATTAAGAAACATAAAAGTTTGCTAGCATATTTCGTTTAAAAATTGGTCGTTTTATGAACTCATGAACAAAAGAAAAGCCAATGGTTGACCACTTCCACTTCTCAGTCCTCATTAGTCATTACTCAACAATATAATAACGATGCCTCGCTATACATTTGACATTCCTTTGAATGGGAATGATAGATGGAGACACCATCAATTCATTGGATAAGAATTTGGCCTTTTTATGAATGATCGATGAAGATACAAAACCAGAGGCAAATCATTGGAGAAGACTTTCTTAAGCAGCTGGAATTCATTGGACTAGGTTTTCTAAACCAACCCACTAGAAGGTGTACGCTGCTTATTCATTGGATAAGGCTGTCTCAAGCAGGCTGCAATTGATTGGAGATTTCTTGAGCAACCCACTTGCAAATTGGTGACACTAATAGTTTAATGGTAAACTCGTTAACGAAAATCATACAATATGATTCAGCTGGGTTTTTTTTTTACAAAATGGAATCTTGTTTTGCACTCGTTTACAGAGGAATACAATGAAATATACTGGAGCCGGAACAAGAGTAAAGCATCCCAGTGCTAACAGTTGAAACCAAACCATGCTTAAGAGATACAACAAAGGAAAGCAAAACACAAATTGAGAACATCCTCCCCAAGGAGCCGAACAATGGAACTAGACACAGTATTACCCAGAATCATTCTCAAATTCCAACCAAATGGAGTTGCAACAAGATCAGGATCAACTCATCCGATCACAACGATGTTTTTGGCGATTGAGCATAGCAATGCCATGTGCCACTTCCCGTGGATTGTTCATAGAAATCCAACACACTGAATCACAAAATCGGGATTACATGGAGGTGGACGATGTTGTGAAACAGATTGCTCCAAGCTTAATAGGAAGAGGGAGTCGAGGTAAAGAGATCGGGTCAAAGGAGAGTAGAACATCATATGGGTGCCACATTAGTGCAAGGAAATACCAAGTTATCGCTGCCTGCAACCAAGTGAAGAAGAACCTACCCTCCACGATCTGACGACTGACCAAGCAATTACAAACAACAAGGGGAGGTCGGAGGGAGATAGTAAACGGCTTCACCAAAGACGATGAACCAACCTACCTGGGAAGCCAGCCAAGCCACAGATCGCACAAGGCTCCCAACCTGCTAACTCCCACCCAAGTTGAGCAAGCCCATAACAAAAAAAAAAAAAAAAAAAACCTAGATCCAAACGAAGAGCAACAAGCCAACAACTCAACTAGAGATGAAATGGAAAAGACACTCCATCTAGAGTAGAAGACACAAACTGGAAAAATGTGAGAAAAATGTCTAGAACAAAGACAATAGGAGCATGAGAATGACAAATAAAGAAAAACACAAAGGAAATAGAGAGCTTAAGCTGGTGCCACCGGTCATCAAAAGGAGCCAGTGGCAACTGTCACATGTGGCAGATGACATGGCGCCAACAAGGTGATAACATGGCGGCTGTACATGTGGCGTGTATGGAAGACTAGTAGCATAGAGATGCTCATAGGATTGTCCACCTAAATGTGGGCTTAATGGTGCACTTATGAGTCACATAATGGGTGACATTTATAGAGTGCATTATGAGGGTCATTGATGCCTTGTATGAGGAGAGACCTATATAAAGAGCCATTTCCCTCATTTGTAACTCATTTCATCATTTTTTGAAGTAATATACACACTAGAGAGTTCTCCATTCTTCTTTGTCTTGTTCTTGCTTCTTTGCTTGCTTGTGAGTTTGAGAGAAGGCTGCTTAGTTCTCTAACGGAATTGAGAGTTAAGGCCGACGAACGAGAGTAAGGTCGTGACAAGTGATACTAGAGCCCGGTTTGGCTCCGGGCTAGCAAAGAAAAGCAATAGAAAAACAAAAAGGAAGAGCCTCGCCAAAAATGTCGTGATCAGACAGCGGCGTTACCGATGCTAACAAGCAACGTGGAAGAGATGCAACCAAGGGCTCGAGGCCAAAAGGTACGTCGATCACTTGTGATCCTTTCACCTCTCTAGAGAAGCGAGTCTCTAGAATGGAGGTGAAGCTTTCCGAAAATGTCACCGCCATGGAGGATTTGGGAGCTAACTTCACACAAGTCTGGAGCGATGTTCAAGGAATGAATGCTCGGTTGTCGAGCTTGGAGATAGTCATGATGGCATAAGAGAAGAGCTTGTAGCCCTCATCAACAACACTATCTCCACCTCCATGAACAACGCGATTGATACCTTGTATGAGGACATGCCTATATAAGGAGCAATCTCCCTCACTTGTAACTCATTCCATCATTTTTAGAGTAATACACACTAGATAGTTCTCCCATCTTCTTTATCTTGTTCTTGCTTCTTTGCTTGCTTGTGAGTTTGAGAGAAGACTGCTTAGTTCTCTAACGAAATTGAGAGCTAAGGCCGCACAGCCGAGAGTAAGGCCGTGATACAAACCTGAAAGGGAGAGGGAAAGTGAGTTTAGAGAAAAGGGAGAGCAAAAGTTCAAATTAAAGGGAGAGGGAGAGTTTATCCAATTATAATGATTCAGCTGTTATGAGTTACGACTACCAAGTACCAATAATAAGATTTGCAACTAGTTTTAGGTCAATTGCTAAAATTAATAGAAGAGCTTAGCAGAAGCGGCGCTCGTCACTCTAGTACATGGTAATGAAGAGCCCTTCTAGTGTGCTCTATAGCACCCATGCTATAAAAAACAAAAAAAAAGGTGACCTGTTGAGGAGGTAAACCCACTAAATGACTGGTCCCACATCATTAATGGCAATCTTGTAAATAATGAATCAATGTATGCAAGTGTAGGTACAAATTAGAGTTGTACCATATAGTATAGGTACAAGTTTCAGCTGTACCATTGAAGAATTTGTTTCACAAAGTGTAGGTACAACATAAAGTTGTACCATTAGTATAGGTACAATTTTGAGTTGTACCATAAAGGGATTTGTTAGAAAGTGTAGGTACAACTTAAAGTTGTACCATGGTATAGGTACAAGTTTGAGTTGTACCATAAAAGAATTTTGAGAAAGTGTAAGTACAACTTAAGTTTGTACCATTAGTATAGGTACAATTTTTAGTTGTACCATAATAGAATTTGTTAGAAAGTGTAGGTACAACTTAAGTTTGTACCATTAGTATATGTACAATTTTTAGTTGTATCATAAAGGAATTTGTTAGAAAGTGTAGGTACAACTTAAAGTTGTACCATGGTATAGGTACAAGTTTGGGTTGTACCATAGAAGGATTTTGAGAAAGTGTAGGTACAACTTAAGGTTGTACCATTAGTATAGGTACAATTTTGAGTTGTACCATAAAAAGATTTATTAGAAAGTGTAGGTACAATTTAAAGTTGTACCATTAGTATAGGTACAATTTTGAGTTGTACCATAAAAGGATTTGTTAGAAAGTGTAGGTACAACTTAAAGTTGTACCATGGTATAGGTACAAGTTTGGGTCGTACCATAAAAGAATTTTGAGAAAGTGTAGGTACAACTTAAGGTTGTACCATTAGTATAGGTACAATTTTTAGTTGTACCATAAAAGAATTTTGAGAAAGTGTAGGTACAACTTAAGGTTGTACCATTAGTATAGGTACAATTTTTAGTTGTACCATAAAGGGATTTGTTAGAAAGTGTAGGTACAACTTAAAGTTGTACCATGGTATATGTACAAGTTTGGGTTGTACCATAAAGGATTTGGAGAAAGTGTAGGTACAACTAAAAGTTATACCATTAGTATAGGTACAATTTTGAGTTGTACCATAAAGGGATTTATTTGAAAGTGTAGGTACAACTTAAAGTTGTACCTTGGTATAGGTACAATTTTGAGTTGTACCATAATGGGATTTATTAGAAAGTGTAGGTACAACTTAAAGTTGTACCATGGTATAGGTATAAGTTTGTGTTGTCTCCATAGAATGATTTTTAGAAAGTGTAGGTACAACTTAAGTTTGTACCATTAGTATAGGTACAAGTTTGGGTTGTACCATAAAGGGATTTATTAGAAAGTGTAGGTACAACCTAAAGTTGTACCATGGTATAGGTACAAGTTTGGGTTGTACCACAGAAGGATTTTTAGAAAGTGTATGTACAAATTAAAGTTGTACCATTAGTATAGGTACAAGTTTGGGTTGTACCATAAAGGGATTTATTAGAAAGTGTAGGTACAACTTAAGGTTGTACCATTAGTATAGGTACAATTTTTAGTTGTACCATAAAAGGATTTGTTAGAAAGTGTAGGTACAACATTAAGTTGTACCATAGTGTATAGGTACAATTGTGAATTGTACCATAGAAGATTTTTAGGAAAGTGTAGGTACAACTTTAAGTTTAGTGTAAAGGTACAACTCTAGAATGTGAGATTTTGACGGGTTTAGGAAAGTGTAGGTACAACTTTAAGTTTAGTGTAAAGGTACAACTCTAGAATGTGAGATTTTGACGGGCGTGACAATGTCAAGTAGTAGCCGTGAAATTTCCTGGGATAGTGAGAACTGCTCTTTGCATCTCACGGGACATCGCACGGCCGTGATATTTGCCTGAGGAATGAAGCACTGCTTTTTACATCTCACTTGAGTATTTTACGGTCGTGAGATTACCAGTATAAGGTGTCAGATTTCCAGTAGGAGAACTTCATCTGTTGAACTATCCCGTGTACTTATTATAATGGTGTTTCAAACAGAATGGACTTTTTTCCAGAACTTCAAACTTATGAAAAAGATGATTCATAATGTTCTCTAAACCTTGACACGAGCATTACATAGATCCATTCACAATGTTCTCTAGTAACTGTACATCATATCAGATGAGATACCCTGTTAACAAAAAGTAAAACGCAGTCAAAGCATTACATTTGTCTAATAAAACAAGCATCCATAACACGATTAAATCTGTCTAATTAATGCTTAAGTTTAGCTGCATGTAGCCCATACTAGTGCTTACATAATGAATGCCAATAGTGCCAGACAGGATGGCAGAAATGGAACTGAGCAAAAAAAGATAGGAGCAACCAGTCAGTTACTTCCATCACCAAGCAGGAGCATCATCGCGGAGATCACCTGACCTCGGAGCGCTGACAGTGCAAGCCTTTGAAGAAGAATCACACTTGAGTTTTAGGCGAACTCGATAGATTGCATCACTGAATTGGGTGATGAATATTGCTGGGAATATTTCAACCTACCTTGAGCCAACGCCATTCGGGACCACCGTAGAGATGGTTAACACCCCAGACTGCTCGATCCACATGGCCAACAGCATTGCAGGCTGGTCCTAGGTGACCCCTCATTCCACAGTTCACCTGCAAATTACAGAGACAACCAACATTATTTTATGCGAAATATGCTTCTAATTCGGGGTCGAAAATTGTCATTGATCCAAACATCGTGTCGGAACCGATCCGGGGTCGACTGAATCGTTTTCCCCTAGTTTTAGTAAACTACTCAATTTTCAAGCTGAGCTAAGAAATGGGCCAATGCCAAACCATATATCTCTTCTTTTCGTCGTGGTTCACAAAACTCCAGTCCGGAACATAGAGTGCAAATGTCGTGATCAAGTAAACGAGGAAAGAAACGAACCCTCCAAGCCTGCAGTAAATTGCAGAGAAGATCAACTTCTGAAATAAGCTAAATGGTGAATGAACGCAACTGAGTTGTAAGTTGTTTTCTCACCATTGCCATCTGTATGCGGTGAAGATTGAGAAATGCCCAGGATTCAAGATCTTTTGTCTGTGCTTGATGGTGAACGTTTCTATCAGAGCCACAATCATGTATACCAATGCAATTCTCTGGTTACAGCAGAATAATATTGAGATTCTCAGTAAGTATAAAATGTCTAAATTCCTATTCGGTCAACAACAACAAAAAAAACTTGCACGGTTGCGAAGGTTAGAGATAGACCTGGAGAATGCCACACCATCTGATCAGCTTCATGTCTACTCCATAAGCGAGGTCACTTGGAGCGTGTGAATATCCTCCTGTAATCCATCAGGTTTTAGTCTACAGCATATTTATCGGAACTACTCCACAGATTGCAACTAGCCTTCATGGTCCCTATAAGTCTTACTCTAGGCTAAGAGAATGAGGTTATGAATGGAATATCACTACCTTGCAACAGAACTCCCCAAAAGAGAAGCTTCAATGACCTTGTGAGTATCCTCCTTACGGCATCCCTCTTCTTAGGTACTCTCTGCAACATTGACATCATAAAAATTAAGCAACTCTCAGCAGCTACATTATTACTGAACAAAGAATCAGAAGAGAAGTTGGAGTGAGGGAATAGTGTACCTTTAGTGCCAGAGCTATTGCCATGCCAACAATGAAGAGGAAAAAGGGCATCACAAAGTCTGCCAATCTACAGCCATTCCATGGTGAATGATTAATCTGAGGGTATGATTCTCCGGCATCATCCACCAGAATCATCAACTGCAGATAGATTCATGCAAACCTCTATCAGGAACCAAACATGCCCTCAGCCATTAACCAGTAATGTTAGGCAATGGCTCTGGAAATGTTAACCCAATCATTCTGACACTTACCACTACTGTTAGCCCTCTGAAGACATCCAAAGTTGCAACCCTCTTGCTCTTCTGCTTTTCAGGCTGCTGCTCTTCTTTTTCTTCAGCTTCCGGGTGTTCAGAAACTTCATTCTGCTTTTCTGCGCTTCCAAGTGATTCCCTGTGGGCAAGCCCTTCTTCCAGATTCTTGGGATTCTCCATTGCACTTTGGATTGCTGGTTTCATCATGGTTATCATCATCATTCAGAACAAGTTCAGTTTCAGAAGAGCTGAGTACATCACAACAGCTTCAGTTGTTACCTTGGGATTGCTTCTACCATTGGCCATTGTAGTCAGAGAAGAATTCAAGCTATGGAAGAGCAAGAAACAAGCAATGAATAGCCAAACAGAACTCAACATCGTGGCTGAAAATACAATTCTGCAAGCAATTAGTCCAAATCCCCCAAAATTGAAGCTAACACTATTGACCAGGTTCACACAGATATTCAATCAACCAGAAAGGGGAGAGGACTGCAGCATCTTACAAGCGGTTTTCAGCATCGACATGGTGATCATCTTAATCTCGACGACTTGCGGCGTCGGAGGCGCGCTGGCGGCAATCGACAATCTAGGTCAGATCGCCGCATCTCTAGGCTACCAGAAGCGCACAATTTCGACATTCATCTCGCTCGTAAGCATATGGAATTTCCTCGGATGAGTCCTCGCCGGATTCGCCTCGGAGATCCTGCTAGCGAGACGCAAATTCCCTCGACCGCTGCTTCTCTCCTTCGTGATCTTGCTCTCCAGCGTCGGCCACCTCCTGATCGAAGGAAGGAAGAGGATCGAAGGAAGAAGGGTTTCGGCGGTGAGAAGAATGGTTTCGAAGGAAGATAGTGTTTGTCTCAATTGGTTTCAGACAACTGGTTGTACCGGTTATCACACACAAATAAAATAATAAATTAATAATTTAAATAAAATCTAATGGTTGATATAGTTTGAACATGATCTAATGGCTGTAAATGTTTTATAGTACCAATACTATAAAGCACACTAAAATGACTCGGTAATGAATCAAGAAAGGTTGACATTTGACATTGGCTTATCACTTCCCAATTTAATTCAACGAGGAAGCTATTTGCCTGCCAGCAATGGTTTTTTAAGTATATCAGCAAAAGCAATTCCATAAGTAAAATTCGTTACTTACAAATTCTTCATCAAGCTGTTAGCAATTCAATCAATCAATTATGAGAAAAGTTAAACCCACATCTCTAAGCTATCCAAATGCAAACTTAGTCCTCTGTTACAAAGGGCGAGGCACAAACCAGCATCATCAACAACAACACAGACAACTGGGGGGCGGGGGACGAAGGAAGATGATCAAAGTACCTATTTCAATCTAAAACCCTACTCATTTCTTACACATTGGATTACAAATCAGTGCGAGAAGCTCGCAACAAAATGAAATCAAGCATGCTCCCGTCTCGGACAAAAAACAAAAGAAATAACATTGGTGCTTATGTACTCTTGTTACCAGACATTGATTGATTTGCTTGCTTACACAGTCACTGTGTGTCTGCTTGGCCGTTTCCCTTCCATTGCATCTTTCTTCTTCCGACAGTTAGTGCACAGGAAGGGGCCTTCCCATGGCTTCGATCCAGGTGCAAAAAATGGACCCGAGTTAACTGAGAAACAATCTCCTGGTGTTTGGTCTGAAGGCAAATCTTTCTTTCGGGTTGTTTGGACCGCACATCTATAGATGCATGCGTTTCTGTCTGAAGGCAAATCTTTCCCCAGTCTGCAATTCATGGCATTCGAAATGCCAAAAGCATGAGTGAAGAACAACATAACATAGAACTAAAGCCTTCTTTTCAAGGTTTAGAACTAGAGTTAAGCACGCAATGCATTAGTTCGAGGGGTGGGATTGGTTTTAGAATGAAAGACATCAGTTTCTGGTTTGGTTAACCGAAATTTCAAACACAATAAACAATACCTGTCAAAGTAAAAATAAACCAAGATGATACAGAACTAACACTAAAACTAAAATACATTCCATGATTTCTAAACTCCAAGAGAGCAAATCTAACAATTATTAATGAACCAATACGTTCTGGTCTAGGCAGCGACGGATCCAGAACACAGAAGTGCACTGGGCCGCATTTTATTAGAAAATTAGAAAAGTAAAAAAAAGATAATGATTATAATATTTTTACAATGTAAATTGTACACGACGGTATTTTAATTTAGCGAATGCATCAATAATGGAGTCCACATCCATACCAATAGTATACACTAAATAAAATACTTGAGCAATCGACTAGAAATCCATAGCTCATTTTGTTGCGCAAATTTTCACATGTTTCGTTGTTGAAAGGGTTCTATTCGTATTAGTTGTTGAAACGAGCAGCATCAACACTAGACAAATCAATCTACTAATCAATTTGCATTGTGTTTCCATCCCTATATCCACCAGCTGCTCTAGTAAATTTTCCAAGGTAACAAACCTCATATATGTTTTAGTCTTTTACGTTTTAAACTTTTTGAATTTTTAGGTTTCATTGTTTTTTTAGACGAATAACCTTTGGAGTTAGAATTTATAAGCTAAATTTAGAGTAGTGATTTTGAATATGTTCATATGAATTATTTTTCTAATTATTACCAATCTTATTTTAAAATAACAACAACCCGAATATCTAAAATCGAAAAATTCATAAGGTCTATACTAACTATGGATCCAGAGGAGGGCTGGGCCGGGGCCCGGGGTGGCCACCCCCTGGATCCGCCACTGGGTCTAGGTATGACGTTCAACATCCTTAAATTACAACCAATTCCAGCATGATTCGAGTAAATTCTAGTAAGGTTTAACAGAGAAATTTAGTAACTTGTGGTAAAGTTCATCAATAGGTGAAGGTCTATTTAGGGATCAGTGAATATTGATTACTTCGGCGTTGCTTATCCTAAAACGAACAACTGAAAAAAATAATACAGTTTGGTTAACTAAAAACTGTAGAATTTGGTTTTACCAGAAAATATTTCCACACAACGATACACAACCAAGTTGTGCAGGAAGTTCTCTATCAAAATTATAGGTGTCAATCGGGCGGGTTTGGGCTAGGTTCAGTCGGGTTCGGGTTCAGTCGGGTTGTGGGTTAGTCGGGTTGCGGGTTTATCGAGTTCAGGTTCAAATGTGTTGCGGGTTAGTCGGGTTGCGGGTTCATCGGGTTTGGGTTCAATCGGGTTGCGGGCAAATCGCGTTGCGGGTCCAACGGGTTTTGGGTCGGGCGGATCGGGTTTCGGGTTGTTTGGGCCAGCGCATCGAGTAACTTAATCATTACTCGTTACCAACTTACACATTTTACTACACTAATTTAAAATATTTTTCTCAACTTTTTAACCAGTTTATTTCTACCTCGCATATATATACTTATGGTGATATCAATATTTGCAACCAAAAGATACCATTATTTGTTTATTTGATATTTTAGTATTATTTCAGTAGTAATTGGATTAAAGTATCTCGTTTAGTATAACCATGCAAATCTGGTATTTGGCCTGTGGTATTTAACAAAAGCAGAGTGATAAAAGGAGTTATTTCGAAATAACTCATTGCCCAAATAACTTCAATAAACTGTTGCCAAACGAGTTATTTGTAAAATTGTTCGAATTATCCTAAAAATTGAACCATTAAAGATTAACTATCAAATTTAGTAAAATTATTGTGACTTCAATCATAACTTACTCAATAACATATATCCTATACACTTAGCCTTACACTCAATCGACAATATTAAGTTAGTATATGTTGTTGATTGTATACCCTAAACCATCAATATATTATACACTAACCACATACCCTATACCCTAACCATATGTCCTTATGAGTTGTGATTTTGCTAGTATAGTTAATTTAAAAGTGAAATTCATACTTTGATTTTCTAAACATAGATAAAATGTGATATTTGCTAATTGCTATACCCAAACCATATATCCTATACTCTACACCACATACCTTGTACCCTAATCAAGTATCATAAACATAAATTAAAAAGTGATCTCCTGCCGTTAAAGACTTCAAATGACTTCAAGTGAACATATGTTAATAAAAAACTTAGAACCGTCAAAACCATCAATATCTTATACCTTAACCATATACCATTACAGGAAAACTAGTCACGAGATCTTATTCACGGATTTTTTCGTGTATTAGAAAGTAGACTAACAATCACGATAAAAATTTCTTTAATTGATTATCTAGTTCTAATTACGGTAATAAATTTATCCATATTTTAATCTTCATTTCCTATGATTAATTGTTAGTCACGGTTAATTACCGTGAACAATGTGACAATATATATACAAATTTATAGGTGGAAATCAGGAAGTATGTGTTTTTGGAAAATATGACTTTGGATCACAAAACAATACAACTCCTTCATTGTTCTAAAAATGGAATTTTAATAAAAAATTGTTTTTTCCAAACACACAACTACAGAATTAGGGTCCAAAAAGATTACAAAATTACATTGGCTCCTTAAAATTTTCAGACCAAAAGAATTCTCGCAAAGCAATTTCGCTCCCCCGCTTATTCTTCCCACCTTCATGATACTGAATTTTGCCTCCTGAAATTTTGGGCTCCAATCCTAAAATTGTTGCCTCTCCCGCAATTTCATTAAACGAGGAAAAGTCTCCCCAACCCCAAACTTCTTTGTCTGTTTCTAATTAACCTAAATCGATGTCGGAAAACTACTTCATAGTCGTTACAATCTCTTCATCTCCCATACCCTCCTCCATCTCAGCGTAATTGTTCCCCTGGCAATATCAATTTTGGTGATTCTTTTATGGACGCCCATTCCCCTGCAAAACTCAATCTCAATTGCCCAGAAGCTTTCTCATGGCCTATAGCTGAGGTATGTTTGTACTCGGATCTCTTTACTGCCACTCTTTAGTGACTCCCCTTCCTCTATTTGAGCTCAACAAGCAGTCATTGATCTCTTTGTTTTAATCGCATGCAACTAAAGATATAAAGTAATTTAACATAAAGGGGTGAAGAAAGGGCATTTTTCCGGAGCGGTGTTGGTGCCGGAGTGGAGCTTCCACTGTCGGGATCTACTGCTGTCGAAGCTGCTGCTGTAGTTGCCTGCAAGGCAGAGCTGCTACAATTGATATTTATTGCTGTTGGCTGCCGAAGTAGAGCTACTGCTGCCTGCCGGAGCTGATGTTGTCATAGATGGAGGTATGCAAAACCTAAACTTTATTCTCTCAAAATTGCAAATATAAGGCGAGCGTTTTCTCACCAGTACATTTATAGTAGTGCTAGGGTATCACAAATCCATGGCCAGGCCCAGCTTTGCCTTGACCGCCTCCTTTAGCACTCCCACCCCAATAGCTTGCCGACGACTTCCGATCTGTACTAACGCCACCGCCTCACCGATGGCATCCTCCTCCAGTCCTGTTGCTTTTTCTATACTATTTAGTGGTTTCTAACTGCTTGAGTGGTACTCGTTTTGACATGCTAGGTATACCTCTCGACTCATCGTCGATTTATCTGGTTTTCATTCGAGCTGTCACCTTGGCTATCACTCTCAAGACTCTGGTTTCCATCTCGTTCTTATCCCTACTTTACAAATGCATCATGTTATGTAGTTTCAATTTTGTTTGGTTTCTTTTTTGTTGAGTTTCAATTAGTGGTTGCGGGCTGGCCTGGTTCCATTTCCCTTGCAGGATGGCAATATTTCCAGTTCGTTTTTTTTTTATCTATTTTCGGTTATCAACCAATCAGTGGTGCTGCAATCTGAAACTCTGTGTAATCTAATGCAAAGTGCATAATGGGTGGAGGTCACAGAAAGAGTATATCTTTCATTTCTAATCAATGTTTATGTTGGACATCTAGTTGTAATTTATGAATTATATTAGGTAGGAATGAGTTTGTACAAGTAATACAGAATCCTTATTTGGAAATGCTACTTGTCTAGTTGAGATTCCGAAGTTGAGTATGTATGAAGGATTTTTGTTTAGTTGCTGCTAAGTATTGTATGTCTGTTGACTGTTTTTAATTTTTCTGCTTCTCATGCTTATTTGATCTATCATGAACTTTGCTATAGTTACAGTTTCAAAAGAAAAGAAGCAGAAGGTTTGATTAAATGTCATAGAGGTTGCAGTACTCCATATATCGGCAAGAAAAAGTCTTCCCCCTTTCATTTTGATCGTGTTTCATTGTGTAGTCATTACCATGTTACTGATGATGTTTATTTACATAATTTCCTTCTTTTCAAATGATCAATGAGTATAGAAAGCTTTATGGCTAGAGAATCCAGAATACTTCATTGTGTAGTCATTACCATGTTACTGATGATTTTTAATTGATTTTCATTATTTCGCAGTTTCGTTAGTCTTTTCAGTTTTATATGTTAATTAACATAGATAAATAAATGATGTTTAAAATAATTGTATTGAGTAGCTAGTTTTTTGCCACGATAATGTTAATTATCAATTACTAGCCACTATGTTTGAAATAAATTTTGTATATTAATAATTGTCCATGATCTCAATTATTAATTCTTCATTATTAATATTGACATTATGTTGATTTTATATTTTATATTTACTTTTTTAATTTTGTTAAAGAACTTAGTGTTCAAGTGATCTTCATGTTTCAATTTTTGTAATTTTCTTAAAATACGTAATATCAAGTGAGTTTCATATTATTTAAATTCCCTATACGAAATGAAAAAATAATTTTATTTAAGTTTAGAATGAAAAACTTTATTTTGAAAAACTATGTATTGTATATTATAATAATTATTCAAGTGGATTAGGTGAAGTTCGGGTTGAGTTGGTCGAATTACGGGTTCGTCGGGTTCGGGTCAATTGGGTTCGGGTTAATCGGGTTGTGGGTCAGTCGGGTTTTGGGTCAATTGGGTTCGGGCTAATCGGGTTGCGGGTTAGTTGGGTTGTCTGTCAATCGGGTTGCGGGTCGGGCGGGTTGTTGACTTTTAGTCAATTCGGGTTGCGGTTCGGGTTGATTGGGCGGGTTAATCGGCTCGGGATATATTTTGACACCTATAATCAAAATAGAGAACTTGTGATTGTACCTCTCTGCAAGCATGGCGGAACCCTCTTCGAACAACTCTTCAATGACACCGACAGCCGAAAGCTTATTTGCTGCCTTGTTAGTAGAACCGGAAGATTTCCTTCAATGAAGAGTGACGTGAGCATATTGTTCTTCTTCCGAGGTGTTGTAGGTAAGATAGGACGGTCTGATGGAATGATGTCAACAACAAGACATGTTGTATCATCCTTCAAGCCCCTCGACCTTGAAGCCTCCTGAAGATCCAACCAAAACTAACCCTTGTAGGATCCCAAAAGAATTCAATATGGGAATCCATCTAAAAAATAGGCTCACCTTAACAACTAACTTAACAGCAAGCTCTGCAGGTAAACCTCGACAAGACTTGGCAGCCATATCGGAAGATAAGGCATCCCAAATACCGTCTGAAGCAATGATCAGTCATCCTCCAGCATTCGAGAGCTAATAATCCAGACAAGTGCTCGCGATAAGGTACTAATTACAGACATGTTTCCTCCAAGAATTAAGGCCAAATTATAAGGTCAATCAACTTACTTTCACTTGTTTAACATGTGGTATAGGAACGATGTACTCCCCAACATCAGTGTCACCAATTGACCTCAATAGGCATAATCCACCAGGCTAGCATCGCAAAGGACCAACCTGGAAAGAAAGATAACATAAGACAGACTGAAGCAACAAGAAAAAGGGAGCAAGATATTTTCTCGTTGTTCATTAAACATCTCAAACAAAAGTATCGGCAGATGGATCAAATTGCATTCAGCTATACCTCGTTACCCCCAAAAATATTGAGTCTTCCAACTTCACCACCACTTGCAGTCACACGCTCCCTCTCTTTAACATTCTCTTCAAGCCTATGATCAACCGTTAAGAGGGATACTACGCCTCCTTGAGTATCCAATATGCATCGTGAATCGCCGACGGAGGCAGCAGTAATCGTCCACCCATCAATGACAACAAATGTCACGGTCGTTCCAGAGGTTTCACCTATCAGTTAGCAAAAACCAAGATTGGGGCGATAATTATAAGATGTAACTGGAAATGAAAACTGGACCAGGATATAAATAGGTGCAGACTTCTCTGCTGAAATTCTATATCGGTCTTCACAAAACCAGCAACTAGTGCTCTAGGAAGAGCTTGAAGCCATTCTTCTCTGCTAGTTGCTTGAGGGATTGCACTCGAGACATTGTCCAATAAGTGCTCCTTTTCAAATATGGCTGCCGAGATGCCATTGTGTCCATCGAAAATTTGCAAACCGAAACAAGGTCGGATTTTAGATATCTGCAGTATCACGACCAAAACCACCCTCTTTCCATGCGAAAGGGTATAGAACAGTACCGCGAAGACGGAAAACAAAGAAGACGGGTTTCCAGGAATCCTTTGACAATCGGTTTTTACTAAGAAGTAATCCTCCCCTTTCTTTGCAAGAGCAGCTTGTCCATACTTCACAAAAGGTTTCTCGAGCTTCTCATTCCTTAGCTCGCGACCAATCAATGTCGCGAGTGGAACGAGAGGAGGCTTTGCCCTTGGTACTTCGGCCTGGCTCATGGTAGTAGTTCAGGTGTCAACATTTCCACAACCCCATTGGCAAAACCCTATTCATGCTGTGAAACAAATTCTTTCAACTTTTAACCATCTTCGAACTTTAAGCAACAAACAGACAAATGAATACATTTGGAACTAGTAAGATTGGGCTCAATCAAGTAAAAGAACATTCATTCATTTTCATATCATCTCGTAATCTCAATCACAAGTATTCCATAACATGCAACTCCTGGCACTTCCTTTAACTCATTGAAAAGCAAGTAATTGACCAAAATAAGGAAGACCACATGCAGAACTCCATCTCAAACTTTCATCACACAATCTACACTTAGTTGATCTGAAAATTATAATCAACATCATTGCAATGTGTTCATATAATCTCTAACAACAAGCCTAAAGAAACCCATAAGCCGAATAAGAAATTAACACATGGAAAAGAAAGAAATTTCTTATTCAACACGATTCACAAAACTAATCTCCGCAGCCAAAGAAATCCACATCGAGCCTTTTTGCCCCAATCTACCTTCAATGAAAGGCACAAAATTTACAGCAGACGAAACTTTTTAGCTGAAGAGAAGAAAACCCCAAAAACGGGAACTCACAATGGGAACATGGGTAGGCATTAATAGATCCAGCTTCGGCGATAAAAGATCTACAAGCTCTCCATTTCCCGGAGGCAAAAACCGAAATTTTCTGCGAAAATGGCAAGAGCTGCCGGAGAGATTGAAAGAGAGAGAAGAAAGGCAGAAGTGTTACAGAGAGAAAGTGAGCGAATTTATAGGAGGGTTTTGGTGATTTGATTGGAGGAGAAATCTAGAGCGAGAGAGGACAAAGAAAGAAGGTCAGGGCAGGACGACGCAGGGAAAACTTTTTCTTCTCTTCCGGTGGAGTCGCTTTGATAATGACGACGATTAGTGTCTTAACTAATCTCCTCTTCTTTGATTGATTAGAGGAAGGAAACCAACAAGAGGAGAATGAGGAGGAGATATTTTTTGGAATATTGTATGGGAGAGAGTATAGGTGTCAAAACATAGCCCGACCCGATTAACCCGCCCGATCAACCCGATCCGCAACATGACCGCAATCCGAATTGACTAAAAGTCAACAACTCGTAACCCGCCCGACCCGAAACCCGATTGACCCGCAACCCGACTAACCCGCAATCCGACTGACCCGCAACCCGATTAACCCGAACCCGATTGACCCGCAACCCGACTGACCCGCAACCCGATTAACCCGAACCCGATTGACCCGAACCCGACTAACCCGTAACCCGACCGACTCAACCCGAACCTCACCTAGTCCACTTAAATAATTATTATAATATACAATACATAGTTTTTCAAAATAAAGTTTTTCATTCTAAACTTAGGTAAAATTATTTTTTCATTTCATATAGGGAATTTAAAAAATATGAAACTCACTTGATATTATGTATTTTAAGAAAATAACAAAAATTGAAACATGAAGGTCACTTGAACACTAAGTTCTTTAACAAAATTTAAAAAGTAAATATAAAATCAACATAATGTCAATATTAATAATGAAGAATTAATAATTGAGATCATGAACAATATTAATATAATATATAAATTACAATTGTGGTTTATTCAACTATTCAATAAAATTATCAATTAAATATAAATAAAATAAAGTAATGTATTTGGTAATTTGATGTTTTTAAAAGAAGAGGAAAATTTTGGTGTATTCAACTTTTTGGGAAGAGAAAGAAGAGGGAAATTTGATTCTTTGAATTTTTTAGAAAAGAAACAAGTGGAAATTTTGGTAGTTTTGATTTGTGGGAATAGAAAGAAGTGGGAAAGTTTGGTTCTTTTGATTATGAAAGAGAAATAATGAGGGAAATTTGGTGTTTTCAACTTTTTGATTTTTTAAAATTATAGCCTTTGAAATATGAATCTTTAATTTTTATATGGAGGGAATAACTAGTTAAATTTATTCTTATATGCTTTGAAGGCTAAAGGCTAATATATATATATATATGGGGAGTTCTACGGTACCCAGGGTGAAATCCCGGGTACCGCATACCTTGAGTAAGAAAACGCTATCCAGAACTTTAATTGACTGATCTTTCGGATATGATACTATACTCTAACCCTTAAAGATCAAAATCTAGGTCTTAATTCTCTAAATCTTATACCCCAAGATCAATTTAATTAGAAACAATAATCGACGGTTATGATTCGTCCAAATATAGGCAAAAAAATCAATGCATCATCTTAGAATTTATAGTTTATGATTTAGATAATTAGGACCTAGGGTTCACCCATTAAGGATTAGGGTATAGTATCATGCCCAAAAATCATGCTTATTCGAGGTCTAAATAACGTTTTCATACTCAAGGTATGCGATACCCCGGATTTCACCCGGGGTACCGTAGAAGGCACTATATATATATATATATATATATATATATATATATATATATATATATATATATGTATTTGTTTATGGGCTAATAAATAAATTAACCATTAGTTACAACAATTATACTAAACTTGATAAGTAATTTTTGACGGTTTGTTGTTTAGGGTATAAAGTATATTGGTTAGGGTAAATGGCATAAGGTACAGATGGTTTAGGGAGTATATGGTTAGGGTATAAGATATTGATGGTTTTGACGGTTCTAAGTTTTTTATTAACATATGTTCATTGTCATTTGATGTCTTTAACGGCAGGAGATCCCTTTTTAATTTATGTTTGTGGTACGTGGTTAGGGTACAAGGTATATGATGTACAGTATAAGATATATGGTTAGGGTATATCAATTAGTATATATCACTTTTTATCTATGTTTTGAAAATCAAAGTATGAATTTCAGTTTTAAATTAACTATAATAGCAAAATCACAACTCATAAGGACATATGGTTAGGGTATAGGGTATGTGGTTAGTGTATAATATATTGATGGTTTAGGGTATACAATCAACAACATATACTAACTTAATATTGTCGATTGAGGGTAAGGCTAAGTGTATAGGATATATGTTATTGAGTAAGTTATGATTGAAGTCCCAATAATTTTACTAGATTTGATAGTTAATCTTTAATGGTTCAATTTTCAGGATAATTCGAACAATTTTACAAATAACTCGTTTGGCAACAGTTTGCTGAAGTTATTTGGGCAATGAGTTATTTCGAATTAACTCCTTTTATCACTCTGCTTTTGCCTAATACCACACGCCAAATACCACATTTGCATGATTATACTAAATGAGATACTTTAATCCAATTACACTACTGAAATAATACTAAAATATCAAATAAATAATTAATGGTATCTTTTGGTTGTAAATATTGATATCACCATTACTATTAGCTAGTGTACTGTACCAATTACGATTAATTACATAACAAGTTTGCAAGTCATACAAATTGATTTAACATTTTGACTCATTTTTTTCAAAAAATTAAGCATATATACGAGGTAGAAATAAATTGGTTAAAATAAATATATTGTTTTCAAATAAATTTTTTCATTCTCAACTTAAGTAAAATCATTCACATTTAGTTAAGAAAGTTCAAAATCTGAAATTCACTTAAAATTATGGTTTTTAATTACAAAAATTATGCATGAATTTCTTTAACCAAATTAAAAAAAAGTAAATATAAAATCAGCACAATGCTAATATTTATAATAAATAATAACTAAGACCTTTTGTCTATAATAATTAACTTTATTATTGGAGAAGATGAGAGGGTAAGAACTAAGAAGTAATTTTGGGCGGGTGTGATGAAATTTTGGGCGCCCAATTTTTTGCAACTAGAGGGAAGGGTTTTGTGTTTTTGGTGTAATTGTAGTGGGCGGGTGA